CCCCCAATACTTTCAAATGGAATTTAAATGATTGACAAAAGATTGTTTTAAAGTAATTACTTGGAGAGGAAAGCCAGCATGCCAAAAGCATGAAAAAGATAATCTAGTTGCTGCAGTGAAACAAATTTCCTAAGTCTTGGTTCCTTCCTAGATCAAAAAAGGGATAGCAATCTGTTGTATAACTCATGAGACATAAAAAAAAAAGACCTCCCAGATCTGCAGATGATTTCAAAGTTTGGACTTTGAGATTATGGGAGGGTTAGGAATGTGTGGAGGGACCATCATATGCAGAAAGGCAAACTTGAAGTGCATATTAAAGTTTGTGTGCATAGTAAGTAGCACTCTGGAAAAAATCTTTAATTAGTAAGCTGCAAAATCATTTTTGTGCACTAAACACAAATTTTAGTGCCAATGAGATGTTTGCAAATGATTTCTAAAAGTGTATTTTGGGATTTTTTTCATAAAGATCATCCTTTCTCTAAATGGAGAATGGTACTCCCAAGTGACTTTCCAAGCAGCTTCTGTGGAGTCCAGGGCTTACCACAGTCGCTGTAAGGGTCGAGTTAGTTTGCTGCTTTCATAACAGGGTGTCTCTCTTTTTAAATAGCATTTGTAGTCATTCTGCAAGATTATGATTGGGAAATGCTACTAATCAAAAAATAGCAATTAAAAAAATACCTGCGGTCAAAGTCAGTTATGTTGACATTGCACAAGCTTACTTACCTGGAGTAAGGAAAGCCCAGAGAAACACTGTTAGTTTTCTCGAGCACTGCTCTTCCCTGCCTTTGTACTTTGGACAGTGGAGAAAATCATTTGCCATCACTAAAAAAAAAAAAGAAAGTGTTCCTTAAAGATCACTGTATGAAACTTCTGCTCTGCCGTGTCGTGCCCTGAGAGTCTTAGCACAAACACAGAGGAATACCTGTATATACAGAGAGAACGGGCTCTCGCTCTAATCTGATCATTTATTATCATGTGCTATATTCATCAAGGGTGCTACTCTCACAGGCAGAATTTGCTTATTGCAAAGTACTAAACCAGTTTATAATACACATAAGTGTTATTCTCTTGGATCCACTTGAATGACGTAATGGAGGCCAGAAGAGAAAGCTGAGGGTATATCGGCACCGTATCTACCTGTGGAAAAATCAAAATGATGCAACTGGTGACAGCAGCAATAACAGCAGTGAGAATCCCACGCATAGAGAGCGTCACGACGATATCGTGTTCTGTCTCATATTCTCAAGTTAACTATAAGGGAGTGTCTTCTCTATGCTTTTATCCAATATGTTCATTTTGTTTATAAAATAAAACTGCAGAAGCTAAATGATCTACTAAAGATGACATAATTAGTTAATGGTTGACCAAAGTCCAGTTTTCTGGACTACTCATAATGGAAACTCATAGTGAAAACAGAAAACCTTTGCTCTGAGACTAGTACTTTTCAAAACAAAGCAATAACTAAGCTTCATCATTGATCTGTAAATGCAGGTGCAGAGTAATTAATGTCACACATAGAGGTATGCATACATGTACACACACTCCCTCCTCTGCCTCAGGCTTCATGTTAAGTTTAGCTATAACATTTCTTAAGGCTGTATCTGGTTTCCTAGAATTTGTGGGTAGACAGCTTGTCAAAGGAAAACAACCCAAATTCAATTTAAGAAAAACAGAAAATTTTATTATTTTGACTTCCACTGGTTATTAAGAAATTTTAGCTATAGAATAATCAATCCACTCAAAGAGTATCACCAGTCAGGAAACAGCTATACTAGATCTTAGCATAAATGCCGTTGAAAATCATGGAAAACCTTGCTGGGCCTCTGTGTCTCCTAGTTTCCACCTTAGATGCAGAGGAATACATCAGTCAATGACCAAATCACAGATTCAGATTTCGGTGCTCTTTAAAAGTACATTGTCGATGTGCACAACGTAACAGGTAGGATTAGCTTTGAAAACTGCTGGACAGTTTTTGAATGTTTCTGAAACATTGCATGAGTCCAACTTGTTACAACAGTACATGTGAGATTGGGTGGCTTCAATAATGGACTTTTTTTTTTTTCTTGTTCCAAAGAGTGAGAAGTCCAAGGGCCAGGTTCAGGAATATCGGCCTCTTGATCTTGGTCAACATCGTCTTCCTGGCTTGTAAATGACTGTCCCTTTACTCTGTCTTCACATAGCAGAGAGAGACTGAGATCTCTCCTTCCCACTATGAGGCTCCGAACTCTGGAACTCTTTTAAACTTAACTCTGAATGGCACCACCTGCTAATAACATTGAACTAAATTCAGAGAACACAGACACTCAGTATTGCTTGTATTGTTGCTGGAAGCAATATGCTAGCACATGTGTCCTGTCTTGATATTCCCCCCCCAAAAAATGAAGTCCCAGAGAAAATCAGATGGTTAGTGATTCGAATGACATCGTTTTGCTGTTAAAATTTTAAGAAAAGATAAAATGGCTCTCACACAGAATGTCAAAAAGTAAGCCCTTTTTTTCTGGAACAATGTCTTCCATTTTAGATTTCTGCACTAATATAAATTACTAAAGGGACTCCAGAGGTCAGCTACTCTAACTCCTCATGCTGAGGAGGGAGACGTGGAGAGAAGCAGCGTATTTTTATGGTTTTGCCGAACTTGGGTGCAGACAGACCCTAAACTGATTGCCCTTCCATATTGTCTTCAGTAGCAGTGATTTCAGCAACCCTGGGTAAAGGATTTATTATTTAGAGAATTTCTTTGCAGAAATGGTGGAAGATTTCTTGAAAGTGTGATCCTTCTATAGGGTAAGGCACAGATCAGCGCAAAGAGCAGCTTTCACACCTTTTTATTTAGATATGGGGAAAACTGAGAAGTTCAGTCATCAGCCATAGAATCTGACAGCTAGAAGACTAAACCACGCAGGAAGAAGCACGGAGGATTTGAGTAAGGCTTTGAGTAAGCAAGCCCTGGGTAGAAATCTGTTTTGCCAGTAATTTGGCTATGTGAACTTGAAACGAGTGATTTTGGGTTTCTGGTTCTTCACTCCCTCATCTGCTAATTAACAGCAATGCAAAGATGAAACAAGATAACAAATACAGCACCTCATATATATTGAACATTCACCATCCCAAGATTTTCAACTGGCAAATCAATCACTAGCTTCACAAGTCTCGACTGTAGTCCAGTATGCTTTCCGTTGCATTTCATGTTACATGGGAAGCATTGGTTTGAACTGGAATTATTAAATGCATTTTTAAAACCTTGTCTTCCAAAATCAATCTGTTCACATTTTTAATAATGCAAGAAAGGAGCTTGAAGCTGGCCCACAGAGATTTTTTTATGAACCAAAGGGTTATTTTTTAATTGGATTCTGTGCCTGTTGTTATGGAAATAGTTGTTTCATAGATTAAACCTAATGACTTTACTGCAAGATCAAGCCCAGGATGGGGTATAATGATGAAATCACCCTTATGCTTCTTTTCCTTGACAAAACACATTTAAAATTAAAAGAACGGAGTGGTGCTGCTTCAAAAGATCTTCCTTATAAAAATAGCTTTTAAAATGATATATTCTCTTTTCAAAGATCACAACCAAGGGCGACCCTTGCTGCCAGTGGGACACTAGGATGCCGCAGAGTTATTAAACACTTCTTTCTCTGCTGTTGAGAATAGAAAGAGTCCCTTTGATCCTGGAACTTACTTTCAACATTTGGTCTGAAAGCATTTTTGCAGTTGCTGAACTAACAGGACTTCCTCTGGCTATTTAGTGATCAATCTCTCAAGATCTTTCTGTCTAGAGTACCTTTTATTCATGGATGTATAATTTCAACTTCTTAGCAAAACTAGCTGATTTCTGTTCTTAATGGTAGCTGATGCAGTTTAAAGAGCCGAATTATTTCATCCTGCAAAATCTAGTTTATATCACAGGCTCCATTGAAGACTGGAGATCTATTAACAAAGGACAGGGTTTGTACATAATAAAGCAAGTAGAAGGGTAGACCATGTCCCATGGTTCCAGAAGTATGCAATGATCTCATGTGTCTGGACTGGTAGGCTTCCTCTGACTTTGTCTTTTCTTCCTCCAAGGCCTATTTCTTTACCTTGTGATATGGCCAACAGTGATCCTTAGCCTTTGGTTGGCTTTGCAGGAAGTATTTGTTTAAAAAAGTTGTGATTCTCCAACTTGAGCTCCGGTCAGTTGGAAGTCACAGAGCTTGCTGATGTCATGCCCTTAATTATGTTAAGGTAGCAACAAATTTCTCTACCAAACAGAAAAAATGTGTTTACATAGGCTCAAAAAGTCATTGTTTTCACGGTGAGTTCTATATGTGGCAGATTAGGAGATGTTGCCAAAGGCACTTTTTTTCCTTTGCTTTGTTTATAGAATGAACAGGGACATAGTCGTACTTGTCATCTTTATAATTCAACACCTTTCTGAATTAGTGTATCGGTTCTGTATAGGCTGCTAGTATTTTCCATGTAGGTGGGGTGAAATTAGCCAGCAATCACTGAAAATGATTTGCTTATGACATGTGGTCAGTGCATTCTGGAAGTCAGCGATTACAAGAGTATTAGCCACTATGCTGATAAGCTGGTAAAAGCACTGATATCTGGGAATCCTTTTAAAAGTATGTGTAAATTTGGAAATTCCCTAGTGCTCTATTGACTGTGCCTATTTATGACAACAGGTTAATTCTGTCTTACATCAATGCTTAAGGTGAAGGAATCTTAAAAGAATGGTCACATCTGAATGTTTGTTAATTTGTCAATTTCTTTGCTTGCCATGACTCTAATGGGCTTGAAAACTGATCCAACCAGTCTCTCTCTCTCTCTCTCTCTCTCTCTCTCTCTCTCTCTCTCTGCTCTCCTTCCTCTCTCTCTCTCTCTCTCTCTCTCCTTTCTTCCCTTCCTCTCCTGGCTTTCCCCCCACCCACTTCTTTGGCTCTTTCTCTCACTCTCTGTGAGGTTCGCTTGCTTGACTAAGTCTGAGCTTCCATAATGACTGTTTGGCATATTTACAGGCAAAGGTCCTGAGACCCTTTTTGCCGGCTATAACCTCAATGATAATGAATGGCACACAGTGCGAGTGGTTCGTCGAGGAAAAAGTTTGAAGTTGACAGTGGATGACCAACAGGCCATGACAGGTGAGTGTCCCTGCCCCATCACCTCTTCTTAGGCTAAATCTTTACACTTCATCTCTCACACAGCTGACTTCCAGATAAAGCAAGGCTGATATACTATGTAGCTTATACACATAATTTGATTTTTTCCCCCTATTTCTGATAACAATTCCATTTAATCAGCAGCCTGTAAAGCATTTTGTCTCCCACATGATCAACATAGGTCCCTTGATCTTCAATAAATCAAGAAGAAATGACAGTATATGATTTTGTGACCTGATAAATATCCTAGTGCTTCATAAAAGTATTTAAGTCATTGTTCAGATCTGTTTTGTTAAATTTGTTTCTTTTTAATATGCCTTGATGTCAAATTGTAGCAAATTCTATGTTTTAACTTGTAGGCAACTAAATGAATACAGTGACATTCTGTCAGTTGAAATGATTTTCACTTTTGCCTATTTAGCTCCACCGGTTAAAGTCTAATATTGAGTGTGTCAGGTTCAACCCCTGATTTGTAGATTTGTAACTGAAGTGAGCTGAAAATAGTGCTACTCTGGAGAAATAGGAAAATTTAATGAAGAGGAATCAGCAAGCCTTTATCTTTGAAAATCTGGGTACATAACCCAGTAGATAGTCGGCTCCTTCCTCTTTTTCATAGAACATCTCCATGTTAATTCTTTTAGTGTATGGATCCAACAAGTGCATCTTTCATACAAGGTGATCCTTATAGAGTCAAGTATCTGTCCTACATTAAATCTGGACAGCATTACTGTACTCAGGGGGTCAGCCCAATCAATGAGGAAATACTGACATAAACAAGGAATTCACCAAATTAAAAATTTCTTACTGGCTTAACATTCCATCAGTCCTTTAAGACTTTCCAAAAACAGTTTTTGTTCAATTCCTGTAACTTTAATTTTTTTTTTTACAATCATCTGAATATCTGCTGAAGCACAAATGTTTCACCTTACACCACAGAAAGTCTGTCTCCTTTAAAAATCTCTCTCGAAGCCTGTAAGGCAGGTGACACATGGGTTGGCATTTAGCGGCTAGCACTGTATTATGTCATTTTATTCTCTGAGGAAGAAAATCAAGCCAGAATCACAATCACAACACAATATTCCTTAGCCTTTGAGTGCTTCTCAAGTACCGCTGCATCCTGTGGGGTGGATGGGTTACCCATATCCCTATTCTGTAGATTAGGGAATTTACACTCAAGGAGATACATCACTTGTGTTTTACTGAAATGTTATTTTTAGCAGAACTGGGACAATCCAAGTTTGTTTTATGTTTTGTTTAATTTAATTAGTCGGTTTTAACTCATAGGCAATTGCTTCCTATTAAGACCAAAACAAGATGATGATTGTATGGTAAGTACTCTTTAGGATATCACATTATGAGTTTATCATAATATCATGTTATAAGAATAATACATACCCTACTATGAAACTCGGGTGATCATTTGTCATGCAAGGCAATATGGGAAATTGAATAGTTGATTTAAGTAATTATGCTGTCACAGTTTGGAAGAGAATTGAATGAACTTTGTTTCAGAGATGGGAAATGTGAATGATAGAGGACTTAGGAGAGAATTTCACACAGGAAATTTTTGCTGCGTATAGCAATAGAGACCTTGAGGATGTGTCTAGAAAAGGCCTTTTAAGGTAAACAAGTTAATCTTCTGGAATAGGGGGTTCACATTCCAGGATGATTGGCTATCCCTGTGTTTAAGCTGGAAAAGAAGCTAATGATAAATAGTAAGCACCGTAACCCTCTAGCAGTGTTAGGTAGTACAGAGTGAGGCATTAAGTCCAGAAGCACAGTAGAGCCGGCAATTATGGAAACAAAAGAATAGTAAGAAAAAGTTTTTGAAAATCATACCAGGAAGTCATTTCATCCTTACAAACAGCTTCAAAACAAAGACTATAAAGAACTCTGGTACACCTCTAAGGTTATTGCCATTTTTATATCATTTACCTTAACACTGTGCTCTCTTCTCTCTCACTTTTTCACTGTTTGAAAAACAAGTTCAAAGTAAGGTACATACAAAATGCCTCTTCACCCTTAAACGCGCCAGTAGTTCCTGAGAATAGGGATAGCTGCTTAAATAACAATGCAAAAGTTGCTAATGCAGTACATTTTTTTCATTTATAAATTTACATATGCATATATGCAAGTATTACTCATATTCTGATTTTGTCATTTGGCCCTGTATTGTTCATATGCTATGAACATTTTCCCTTCCCGCATAGCATGCTGTCTAGGGGGATACTTCATTTACTTCCGATGACTCTTTAGTCTCCTTTAGTCTAAAACAAAAACCCTGTCTCTGTATTCATGTTTCTGAAGCATGTAATCCTCTTCCTGTCAGATGTAAATGCAGTCCCTAGCTGTGTGTTTGTCTGACGTTTCCTCATAATTAAATTCAAGTTTTGTGGTCTTCATGAATCGACATTTCCAATATTATAGACTGTGACTAGTATCCCTTCTGAAGACAGAGGCTATCTCCTCATTTGATGGTGTAATTTGCTCTATTGGTATATGCGTTGTCCAGTTCATTCATGGAATACTATCATTATTGTATCAGTCCACTCGTCATTCTGTAGTGAAAGTAACTTGGGGAACTTTGAGGAAGAAAAGGTGTCTTTCAGATTACAGTGGAGATTACAAGATCAGGAGGTCCCATAGTCTGGTAGCTGGTAGAGGATGGGCGTGGCAGGTGCACCAGCAGCCGGGACAGTGGTGAGGTAGCAAACAAGAGGGAGGAGCTATGCTGAGCTTGACTGAAATAAACTTCTCCCAAGAACTGGATTCCAAGAATATGCTCCCAATTGCCTCAAGACCGCCCACTAACACACCTCCCAGTTGCCATCATCAGACAAATTATCTGCAGTTATTCTATCAACCATTAAGACATCAGAGTTTGAAAAGCTGCATGCTTTTTGAGACAAATCATTTTTAACCCATGACAAATTATTATGTACTTTTTTTTCTTTGCAACTAATAAAGTAAGTGAAGAGACATAGTAAAATCCCACAATCCTTAGGGTTAGCAGTTGTTGAACACTTGTGCCTAATCCAGTCTTTACCAAAATATTTACTTTGAAACCCCAGCACTCCTTTCAATGTATAGCTAACAACTATTTACAGGTATTTTGTTCTTTATTTATTTCAAAGACAGAGTTAAAAAGAGAGGAAAGAAGAGCAGAGGGAGAGAGGGTGAGATAGGAAGAGAGAGAATATTCCTTTTAAAGAATTTTTTAAAGTATGCTCATTTTTTCATGAATATGTTGAAGCCCCCTCGTATTTTACAGTCTTGACAAAAGAACTGAGAATCATTTAACTGGTTGCAGGGATGTTCAAGTCTTACCTGGGAAGAAAGATCATTGTATTTTCTTAGGAACTAGACTAAAATTGTACTTAGTAATATTCTCATTAGTATCACTGATGATGAAATCGGGTGAGCCCAGTCACTTTTTGCATGATGACAAATTGGGTATTGAACCTGCCCAACAACTTGGCTGAAAGAACTTGAGTGGAACCTAAACGATACCTTTGAGTTACAGGAAACGCGTGGTATTTTAATAAGAAAAGAACAAGATGCGAGAATGAAACTTCTAGCACTCACAAGAATTCCCATGACTTCTGTTGTGTAATACCATACTGAAAGCACCACGATGTCTCTGTTTTGTTAACCTTCAACTTCCAAGCAGATGAAATGATCATTCTTAATGTAAAGATGTGACTAGGTCAACTTTTAGTGGACTTCACAGAGAAATACGAGATAGAGAGGCATGGTGCCTGTGTTCAATAGTGAAGCGATGAATGAATATGCAACCAGGTGTGTCAATAAGATTTTTTAATTAGTATGTATTTTATTTTACTTAAAAGATTCACTGACATAAACATCTGCTATCCCACTGTTTCATTGTCTAAATAGCTACAATAGGTAGAGCCAAAACAAGGAGTCAGAAACTGCATTCAGATCTCCCACAAAGATGGCCCAAGTATCTGGGCCGTCTTTGGTTGCCTTCCCAGGTGCAGTAGCAGGAAGCTGGGTCAGAAATGACACAGCTGGGACTAGAATCAATCTTCCAAAATAGAATGGTGGCATTGCGAGTGGTGGTGGCTCAGTTTACTGTGCGATCCATTGGTTGGGGCTTGGAGGTGGCGGTACAATCTTTAAAGCACATGCTACCTCAAGAAAATGTGGGCTTATTTTTATTAGCATTCTTCAAGCTCAGATATCCTCTCATTAAAATGCTGTGCTCAGTTTAGTTTGAAAGTAAGAGTCAAATACCTAAGGTGCTTGGGAACCTGGTGTGAGGAACCTGTTGGCATTACCAGTACAGTAAAGAAGGGATGGGAACTGCACAATTACTTGAGACACATTTTCTCAAGTCATGATTCAAACAGTGATCTGCCATTGCTATTTCTATTGGGTATACAAATGCACAGTCACATTTTATTTTTGGCTTGGAGAACTGGAAAGAAAATCAGCACCTACTGATTCTATTAAGATGTTTTAAGTAATCGTTGTTCTTACTCATTTTCTTCTCTTCCTTCAGCCTTCTGCTCCCTCCCTTTCTTCCCTTGTCTTTCCATCTCCCTCACATCATTACTTTTTCCTCTTCCAACCTTCCTTCTTTCTTTATTTCCTCTTTGAAATTCTGATAGCTTTTGGAAATGAAGATGGTTTTGGAAACGAAACTTGACCTAACGTGGTTTGATTATGTAAGCCCACCGACACTTTTAACACCACCTTGGGGATTTTACTGTAAGGATCCTTGCTATAAAGGAGATGTCCAGATTTAAAATGCAATATCCATATGGCAGTCTCAAGTGGAAAATGCCTTTCAGACACAAAAAGTAATTGTACTTTATCTTTTAGGTCAAATGGCAGGTGACCATACAAGACTGGAGTTCCATAACATAGAGACTGGGATCATCACAGAACGAAGATATCTTTCTTCTGTTCCCTCCAACTTCATTGGACACCTGCAGAGCCTGACATTTAATGGAATGGCATACATAGACCTGTGTAAAAATGGTGATATAGATTATTGTGAGCTCAATGCCAGATTTGGCTTCAGGAACATCATAGCAGACCCTGTCACCTTCAAGACCAAATCAAGCTATGTTGCCTTAGCTACATTGCAAGCCTACACTTCTATGCATCTCTTTTTCCAGTTCAAGACAACATCCCTAGATGGACTAATTCTGTATAACAGTGGGGATGGAAATGACTTCATTGTGGTTGAATTAGTGAAAGGGTAAGTGTACGGAGGATCATTGGCAAGCAAACGAAACTTTTGAGAAGTTGCTTTTCAGTCTAAATGTGTGCGCTAAACAGAATGAATTGGCCTGTCAGATGGTGAGCAGAAGCAAGTGGAGATTTCTCGGTACATTTGTGTGGACTCAGCAGACTCGTTTTTCTTACAAGGTAACAGAAGGGTGCAGTTAACATCTATTTCTAATTTGTGGTAGGAATTCCATGAGTCTTACACTTTCTCTCTCTCTTTTTTTTTAAGGTTTATTTATTATTATTGGAAAGGCAGATTTATAGAGAGAGGAAAAGAGAGAAAGGTCTCTGATTTGCTGTCTTATTACCCAAGTGGCCCTAACAGGCCAGAGTTAAGTTGATCTATAACCAGGAGTCAGGAACTTCTTTTGGGTCTCCTATGTGGGTTTAGAGGCCCAAGGCTTTGGTCCATCCTCTGCTGCTTTCCCAGGCCACAAGCAGCGATCTGGAGTAGAAACAGAACAGCTGAGACGCAACCCGGTGCCCAGATGGGATGTCAGCACCTGAAAGTGGAGGATTAGCCTCTTGAGCCATGCTACCCACCCTCAGTCTTACATTTTGAATGATTTTCATGACTATACAAGTTGCATTAAAATTATGCAATTTATGGGCTAGTCTGTAATAAATAATTTTCAAGTAATCAGATTGCTTCAGCTTCACGCAGTGTCACGTAACTAAAGCTTAATTTTCCATCAGATTTCCTTGAAAATTATAGGAAGAAATAGATGTGTGAAATGTCTTTTAGACTGTGATGAAAATTGATGTATTCTTTCTGGAGTTCAGCGACCATTTATTCATTCTCTGAATATAATTGAGTATTACCAATAGGTAGATAATGTGCCAGTCAGCGGCGTATATATTACTTATCATTTCTGTACACCTCAGAGAGTCCAGCCACCCCAGGTCTCACACACCAATCTGCAACCCTGGGGGAACACAGCAGTTCAGCACAAACACTGCAGTGTGCAGGTGCACAGATTCAGGAGAGCTCCAGGGGAGGCCAGGGGCGGGGAGGGGCCTTGGCACTGCACCGTGAGGCATGAGTGCACGTTTCTCTTTGAAAGACAGGAATTGCAGGTGTAAGGAAAGGCAGGTGCAGCAACCCTGAGCGTTGCCATTTCGTTGTAGTCAGCCAAGGAGGAAGGGCAGAGTAGAAATGTGGAGAGAAGAGCGAGGCGCTTTGCCTTGCACGGAAGTACAGAACAGGGTTTGCGGTCCTCCTGTGAGCTGAGCTGCCGCGTAGCCCGTAGCCCACGCTCATTCCTAGTCATGATGCGCCCGCCTGGAAAATAAAGGCTCTCTCTTGGCAATAGCTTGTTTGACTCCATCAACAGTTCCACGTCTTTCTTTTACAGGTACCTGCATTATGTGTTTGACCTGGGAAATGGTGCTAACCTCATCAAAGGGAGCTCAAATAAACCGCTCAACGACAATCAGTGGCACAACGTGATGATTTCGCGGGACACCAACAATCTCCACACTGTCAAGATTGACACAAAAATCACAACGCAGATCACCGCGGGGGCCAGGAATTTAGACCTCAAGAGTAAGTGTTTGCTGAGCTGGAGGCACGGGCCACGTCTCACGGCCTTCACTTGCTTGGAAAACCCTTTCCTGGGGACCGTCAGCGTCCCCTTTGCAGAGGCTGACCAGAATCTCCGTTTCTGGCACTTAATTAATAATACAACACAGGAACCTCTGCTCCTCATTAATGTGGCAGGAATGTATGCATTTTTCATAGTAGCTTAAAAAATGCAACACCTAAGAACGCACGCATGGTTAAAATTTCAAGAGGGAAGAAAACGTGAGGAAAACATTATTCTGGGTACCGACATGATAAAGAACAGCAGACATTTACAAATCTCTTTGGTCCCACCAGTTCGCAGCTGACAGGGACTAAAGGCTGGCCAGACGCACAAGGACCTTCATGCAGAGTTCGCTCCCCTTTGCTCAGCTTGTCCAGATCCTGCCAGGTGGCCCTCTGACCCAGCATCCCGTGGGATCCTGTCCCGCAGTAACTCCCCGTGCAGTCTCCCCCAGGGAGGCTTCCCTCATCAACAGTAGGAGTATCTTAACAGATGCACGCCGTCCTCATTGATACTGGAGTTCCCAAATGAGCAAAACCTCCTGCTTTGAAAACATGTCAGTTCTCCAGAAAAGATACCGGAGGTTTCTGTTGGAGGGTTTTGTTTTTTTCCCTGTGATTCTCTGAGAGCGCCTCCCCCTTCTGGCCATTCCCTTTTCGTGGGGACACTGCAGCAGGCCCTGGGGGCGGCATTGCGTGCTCTTCAGAAGGTGGACAATCTCAGGTTTGAGTGAGTTGCCCAAGGATTAAAAAAAAAAAAAAAAAAGCTGCAGCTCCAGTGAAGAAAAACAAAATCCTGACACACACCCCTCCCTCAGCGTGTCGCTCTGTCCTGTTGTGCCGCAAGGCTCCGTAGGTATGGCGGGCACAGCTTTGCCTGGAAGGAGTGACTCGTTTCTATTGATGGGACCTCTCCCTTTGATTCAGAAAGTACATACATGAGAGAGAGAAAGAGAGAGAGAGAGAGAGAGAGAGAGAGAGAGAACTGTAAGGAGAAAAGTCAACAGAACACTTCCTAGAGAAATATGCTGTTTTTAAATAAGGTGAAAGAAGGAAGAATCATCTGCTTCCTGTAGTTACAGAATGCGGTTGCAATCCCAGGTCTTTAGTTGTTCAACACGGAAAACGCGTGGTAATGGCTGTCTCCCTTCACAGCACGCTCTTGTTAACTTCAAAGAGATTCTGTTTGTGCCCACAAATCTAATGGCTCGGCTCAAAAGGATAGAATGAAACGCAAAGGAAACGCTGTTTAGCAAGCCAAGCCCCTTCTTCTTTCTTCGCTGAGTGAGGGGGAGGGGACGTCCCCCTGTCCCTGTTTCCAGGGTGCCCTCTTTTTGTGCGACAGGTTCCGATGGTAATTGTCAAGGGACGGGGAGAAGGCGCCGATCGGGACAGCCAGGGAAACTCCATGCCATGTCTGGAACTGTCAGTGAATTTCATCACAATCTGTAGGTACCAACTCAGAGATGAGCATGTCTAGAAAAGAAGCAGTGCATATTTGGTGCGAGCGTGTGCCACGTGGAACACTGAGGTTCCAGACGGATACCCAGGGCTGTGAACCTGAACGTGGAGGGGCCTGTGTCCTGAGAGGGATGCTTTTGCTAATTTCTCATGAAGGACAAGGCGGAAGAGAGAGTGCTGTAGTGCAGGTCTTTATGCTGGAGTTGATGCAGATGTGCCTTCATAATATTGAAGGCCACAGATCTGACTTAAAAAAAAAAAAGATTTATTTATTTTATTGAAAAGGCATTTCTAACAGAGAAGAGCTATATAGAGAAAAGTTCTTCTCTCCACTGCCTTATTCCCCAACTGGCCGCAATGGCCAGAGCTAAGCTGATCGAAAGCCAGGAGCCAGGAACTTCTTCCGGGTCTCCCACGCAGGTGCAGGGTCCCAAGGCTTTGGGCTGTCCTTGACTGCTTTCCCAGGCCACAGGCAGGGAGCTGGAAGGGAAGTGGAGAAGTTGGGAATGAACCTGGTGCCCGTTGGGATCCTGGTGTGTGCAGGGCAATGATTTAACCACTAGACTATCACGCCGGACCCTGCAGATCTGATTTTTATTGAAATGTGAATTGTGTCACCTAGTGTCAACTTCAGGAAAAAAAAAAAAAAAAGCCCTCCCATGATACACAAAAAAGTAAAGCTCTGAACCAAATTATAGTCATTTCTTACGTGCTATGTCATATCAAGGAGTTGAATGCTGAAGTTTGATCAGAGATACTCATATTTGTGAAAATGGCCAAGTTACAGTTTAGAGTTTCCTAAGTGAACAAGCTGTTATCCCCTTAAAGCCTCTGAGGGCCTCAGGGCCACCTGTCAGACCGTGGCAGACCGAGGAGCCAAGTCCTAAATGCGGAGCGAGGCTCTCCCGGCGGGGTGTGCGCGTTGCCGGCCCGGAGCCCGCGCGTGGCGCACGCCGTCCACGAGAGGGCGCGCGGACGCCGCGTTGCTGGTCTCTCTCCTGCTGCGGGGGTCGCCCCGGTTAGCAGGACTGAGCTCTCCAAGTTGGGGTTCCTGCCAGTGAAGGCTCTCGTTGGAGGAGAGGGTGGACCCGTGCGTGCACAGGCCAGGCCAGGACCGGAAAAAGTCCCATCAGGGACAGGGCCAGGAAGGCTTTGTGAGGAAGCAGGATTCAGGGAGAGCCTGGCGATGCAGGAAGCCCAGTGCCACAGGAAGGGTACTCACTCTCGCACATCCGAGACTTTCCCGCCTGACCACTTCACACCGTGTTGCTTTCTGTTGTTGCTTTTTTTAAAGAAAAGATTTGTTGTTCTTCTTTGAAAGGTTGATTTTTACAGATAAAGAAGGATAGAGAGAAGGAGAGACAGAGAGGAAGCTCTTGCATCTGCCAGTTCACTGCCCAAGTAGGTGCAACAGCTGGAGCTGAGCAGATCCGAAGCCAGGAGCCAGGAGCTTCCTCCGGGTCTCCCACGCGGGTGCAGGGGCCCAAGGCTTTGGTCCACAGGCAGGGAGCTGGGTGGGAAGTGGAGCAGCTGGGACAGGAAGCGGCGCCCGTACGGGGACAGTTGGCTACCACGGTGTCGTTGCTTTTTAGTTTGAATTTTTCATCGTTTTTGTCTTCAAGTCACATGGGATTGAGTCAATCTAAATGAAAGAAAAATGAAACCTGATTTTTTTTTCATAGCTTAAGGAATTTAAATTGTCAAATGATTTCCACTCCCTGTTTGGTCCTTCTCATAGTGACTTAAAAAAAAAAACCCTAATTACATTAGGATCACGCTGATACTGATGCAATTAAGATTTTTTTTTACTCCACCTCAGACTAACTGAGGTGACTGAGAAAGAAATGCAGGGAACAGTAAGTTTCAATATTTTCATCAAGCGCTCACTGAACTAGATTACATGTGAAAAAAAAAGTCTTGACCTATTGCGCAGTTTGTATCGAGCCAAAATTTAACAAATTTTTATCTTTGTATAAATCCTGGTTTTACTTTTATTTTATAGTTTTCCTTTTGTTTTAGCAGTCCTTGCTTGATGTCACCGCGTTTATCCTGTTCAGGATGTTTGCTTTTGTCGTGTTGCTATACCTGAAAGAGACACGAGAGGGCAGCATAACGCCGCAAACCATGGCGCGTGGGTCTGCAAAAGAAGCAGGAAGGCTCCAACCTGCTCCCTTGGCTCTGGAAAGCAGGCTTTCTTTGTTTTCAGAAATCTAAAATCCCACGTTTATCCTTCATGCTTTTGCCTATGAGAGGCAGCGTTTTCGATGAGAAACTTGTAAATTAGGGTGCATGCTTGCCATGCCCCGCTTTGGAGGGGTAGTCTAAGACGGACCCTTCTTGTGGAAGAGGAATTCCGTGCAGGCGAGCTTGTTCGAATTGTCTTCCGTGGCACTGCCGGGCGCGCGGGGACTGTGTGTCTCTCCCTGCCGATACAGTGTTGTTTCGTCTCTGTTTCCCAGCTGCCTGTGTTCTGCTCCCTTTGGCTGTTATGTACAAGCTGCACCCTGCAGTGGAGAGAGCACACGTTTGCTCTCAGAGCTGACTCCCTAGCACTGCTCTGTGTTCATTTGAAAACTTCTGCCCCCCTTTAAAGATAGGAAGGATGGGTGTGAATTCCTTCCTGTGCGTTTTCTCTTGTTCCTATATTTGCCTCATCTGTAGATTTGCCTCTATATACACATAAAAAAGGGATGCTATTTCTTGAGTCCCTAATAAATACTAAATGGGTTTAAATGAGGTTCTTGTATTGAATCTCGCGATTACCCAGGGATTCGAATTGAGGTCAGTCTTGTTCATGCATTAATCTAGTTCAGGAACAAAGAAGCAAAGGAAGGGTTGTTTGTATTCTATCCTTCCGTGGGAACCCTCATTAAAATATTAACCCAAATTTATCAGCAAATTGAGGATAAATAAATTGCTTGATGGACAGAAGTGGGAGGGACAAAAGATTGCTCTGCGCAAAAAATGGAGTGCCCTCAGGTGGCCACTTCACAAAATTACATAACAGTGGATATAATTAATGGCCTCAACTGGGTCAGCGAGGTGGTACCTTGTCTTGTCTTCCTCAGTTATTCTCTCTCCAAGCCTCAAATTCCTTGACCTAAAAGGCTTTGAGCTCCTGTGCTGTTTCTTTCTTTTTTTTAAAAGGTGTATTCTTATTGGGAAGTCAGATATACAGAGAGGAGAAAAGACAGAGAGAAAGATCTTCTGTCCACTGATTAACTCCCCAAGTGACCGCAATGACAGGAGCTGAGCCAGTCTGAAGCCAGGAGCACAGAGCCTCTTCCAGGTCTCCCACACGGGTGCAGGATCCCAAGGCTTTGGGCTGTCCTCGACTGCTTTCCCAGGCCACAAGCAGGGAGCTGGATGGGAATCGGGGTTGCAGGGATTAGAATTGGCACCCATATGGGATCCTGTCGCGTGCAAGGTGAGGACTTTAGTGACTAGGTTACCATGCAGGACCTGTGTGCGGGTTTATGGTCATATCCCTTCACTTGTTA